GCTGATTCTGTTCTAAACATTTTGAATTTCGGCATTCCCATGATGTATCCTTGAAAGGAAAAATGTATCCGCTGCGCGTCGGTCGATACTCTGGCTGTACTGTCTTCGTGCATTCTTTGAGGTATACTCGTAATATGTCAGATTATGCTTTCTTTACAATATTTGTAATATGCCCTGAATAAAAAAACATGATTGAAGACACTAAAATATGAAGATTATCCTTTCACGGCATTTTTTGTTTGTTTTACACTGAAGTTGTTCAGATATTCTCATAATAACCTTATACTATTAGTTTAGCATAACATAATTAATTTCATAAATTGAAAATGTGGTCGAACAACTTGAATTCGTGCTCTATTCTTATTTTGCACATGTACTTGCACATATACTTCCAATTTAACCATGTTTTCGAGCGTTATGGAAGGTTTGTAATATTCGAGGAGGTGTTAAAATGACAGAAAATCAAGAACATATCATAATTGTACCTATACGCCATACTGGTTTGGTGATACGTCAGAAGCAATACGATACGATAGCACATTGTCGGGATTCAACAAAACCCGGTATCACTATTTCTCACTGTAATGACGTCACCTTCTTTCACGTAACTTATTTTCCACATATTTATTTTATGTATAACCTTCAAATTAACGTTTTTAGATTTAATAATTTAAGGATTAATCTAATTGTATTAAAATAAGCTATGTATCACAAAAGTGTAAATAATATTAGATGGTTAGTGATGCCAGTTTCAAATCTATATCACATCTATCACATTAATATATTTTAAACTGGGTACGTGTGGGGGATTCGACCTCAATTGTAGCCAGACGCCTGTTCTAAAACAAATAGCTCAACAGTGTTTTTCGTTGTTTTTTTTTAAATATTAACCAACTTAATGAACTATGAATGATTACGATAACGAGGTTGTGCGTTTCACTGAGTGGTACAGGCTACGAGGCGCGGAATGTAAATTTATTATTTTGTGTATACTAGAAGAAAACGTACTAATAATTCAAAATTACGTACGTATTGGAGGCCGTGGCGTGTGTGTTTTAAAATGATGTGTGCATTTTAAAAAAAAACGGCGTGACTGTGCGTTTTAATGGTATGTGCTTTAAAAAACCATGTGTATATTAAATGGCGTGGGTGTTTTAAAAAACGTGTGTTTTAAAAATGACGTGTGAATTAAAAATGATGTGTGTCTTAAAATGACGTGTGTGTTTACAATTAAGTGTATTTAAAAAATGTGTGTTTAAAAACAACGTGTGTGTAAAACGATGCGTGTGTTTAAAACGACGTGTGTGTTTTTAAAAATGGCGTGTGTTTAAAAACGACGTGTGTGTTTTTAAAATGGCGTGTGTTTAAAAACGACGTGCGTGTTAAAAAATGACGTGTGTGTGTTTTTAAAATGGCGTGTGTTTAAAAATGACGTGTGTGTTTAAAAATACGTGTGTTTAAAAACGACGTGTGTGTTTTTAAAAATGACGTGTGTGTTAAAAACGACGTGTGTTTTAAAAACGACGTGTGTGTTAAAAAATGACGTGTGTGTTTTTAAAAATGACGTGTGTGAGGTCGAATAAAAATTTCGTGTGTGTAAAAAGAAAAAAAACGCGTGCATTAACTTATTTACGCCTGTGGGGGCGCTGTTTTGAATAGATTTTTTTTCGTGTGTGTGTGCAAAAAAACGCGTGCGTTAACCTTTTTACGCCTGTGGGGGCGCTATTTGAGAGATTTATTTCATGTGTGTGTTAAAAAAATCGCATGCATTAACCTATTCACGCCTGTGGAGGCGTCGTTTCAAGTGGTAGCCATTTTCGTTTGTGGATTTCTATAACGTTAATAAGATACGTAAAAAGGAACTTGTCCAGCACGAACGTTTTATTCATTTTGCCCTATAAATTTACCGACACTGTGTATACCTCAGAGACCTGGTGATTTATTCGTGTGGTTGGTTGCTGAAGACAATGCGTGGACGTCTGGTACAATGGAGCAGAACAAAGTACTCATACTGGTCTCACAGGCGCTCGGAACGTTTCTTGGATAATAAAAAAATGACCTAAAGTAGGCTCGGCATATTTAGTCAGTCGCCGGTACATTTGCCTACCACTCATATAAAAACAGTCGATCGATTGTTTCGATATCATGCTTGAGTTGTGTGAAGTGGATCCAAATACAATTTTGAAAATCGTGTTATTTTCGGACAATTTCGGTGTCATGGTGTGAACGCT